CTAAACCTCAAACTCCAAGCCCTGAACTCGAGCCTGCCCCAGAGCCTGTCTCAGAACCTTTAACATCGAATCTACTTTAGGATTTATAGGGTTTAGGGGTTTAGAGGTTTAGGACTTATAGGGTTCATAGGGTTTAGGATTTAGGACATATAGGTACTACCTGGAGACTGAATGCAAGTTCGCAAGGAGCCGCTCATGGAAGCCGGCATGGACTCGCTTTCGGCTGCTCATCTTCGATGGCTGCAACCGCTGCGAATGGACATGGACGCATTCTGTGTGAAAGGAAGCAGGTATTTATGCATATATGCATGCATGTATAGCCGCACAACACGCACCCACCCACCCGCCCACCTACCCACCAACCCACCCACCCACCTCTGTCTATCTATCTATCTATCTATCTATCTATCTATATGACTAACTGCATGTGGCCGTGCCAGCTGTCCGTCCGTTTGTCTTTCTGTGCATGTGTTTGCATACATATACAGAAGATGCCCGGTACGCACATGATTTTGGGTTCCCGAAGCTTGAAATGAGAGATGAATGCCACAGGCCGCTAACAATTGACATTTCACCGCCCGGAGTAGCGTTATGCATCCTGGCGCCAAGGCTGTCGAGTTCCGCAACCGCCTGTCCAATGAATTGCAAGGGGTCAAGCTGCCCAACACATTGATCTTCGACTACCCGACAGCTGCAGCCATCAGCTTCTGATCTGAATGCTGTTGAACATGCAGATATCAACGATAGGAGGAGTGATATGAAAGGGTTGCCGAGAAGTAATATCAGTGTCGGCAACCATAGCAGTTACCGGCGCCACCATCAGCATCATCACTATGATTATTTTCATCGCCTTGAAGAAGAAGATGATGATCAATGCTCATGATCATGATGATGGTGATGGTGATGATGATGCAAGGAGGATGATGATGGTGATGCTGCCGATGGTGATGACGATGATGATCGTTGTCATAACCACCACCACTGCCATCATCATCATCAGCATCATCAGCATCATCATCATCATCATCAGGGCCACGGCATCGGCGGTAGGAGGAGTGGAGGCCTTGGGAGGCGTCAACGCCGGACGAACTAGTAGTAGCAATATCAGCAGCAATAGGTGCAAGGTGATACACGCTCGCCTCCGGCAGCAGCAGCAACAACAGCAGCAACAGCAACGACAACAGCCATCAGAGTTTCAGAGGCCATAGAGTGCCCTGACTTTTAGCATCGCAGCAACGAAAGCTAGGCGGATCACGAGAGAAGCAATGTTGCATGTGGGTTCCATCTATACACTGAGAGCACTGAGACCTGCAACTACTATCCGAGGCATGTTCGCAGCGTCTCAGCTGAGCCAAGTGGCGGGCGCAGGACAAGTTGCTCCGGTGCCAGAGCGGCAAGAAAGAGAGAACAAGGTGTTGTTGTGCTCCCATGGCTGCAGAGCCGGATAAAAGAAGCTACTCATCCAAGATCCCAAACCTTACATTGACTCAGGTGGGTGCTCCCGGGATCAGCGCATCACAGGTCGAAGCGTTGGTGCTTGAGATCGCGAGCGAAGTCACCGGTCACGGAGTGGATCCGCAGGATATGCCTGAGCCCTCGAGGGATGATCTAGGGGCTTAGGGTTTAGGGTTTAGGATACCGGCTACCCTGTCGGACACAATGCGGCTACAAGGCTGAAGCCGCCGTAGAATTGAATTTCGTCTTTATCAGTGAAATGCTGCGAGTCAGGAGCCGTTGATGGACTCTGGTCTCGACTCTTTGGCCGCCGTAGAATTCCGAAATCGCCTGTCCAACGAGCTCCAGGGCATCAAGTTGCCCAACACGTTGATCTTCGACTACCCGACGGTCGCCGCCATCAGCAACTACGCCGTGGCACAGCTGGGCCCCACAACTGCCGCACTGGGCCCAGTCTCCGGCGGATCCTTCGTGGCCTCTGGCGCCTTTGCCTCAGTGAAGGGCTTGGCTGCCAGCTTGCCCGGCCGCCGCGACGATGGCTTCTGGGAGGACCCGCATGTGTTCTTTGCATGCTGTCGGAAAATCCAATTCAACTGTGTGCTGCAATGTCTGCAACTGCTCTCGCGGGTTGAGGACTTGGTGGAGAAGAAGGACTCTGTCATTGAGATTCCCTTCACGCGCTGGGATCTCGACGTCTATTACAGCGCGGATCCAGATGCACCCGGCAAGACGTACGCAAAGCACGGCGGCTTCATCGAGGGTGCTCCAACTGCTTTGGGGGGAGCGAAATGCAACGAATGTCACGTGTGGAATTGTAGGGTGTAGGGCAGTGCAGGGTGTTGAGGGGGATGATCTAAGCCAAACCGGAACACTCGACCGAGGCGCTGAGCTCTTCGATCCCTCCTGCTTCGCCCTCTCTGCTGCAGAGGCTGCGACCATCGATCCTCAACAGCGGTTGCTGCTTGAGGCAGCGCACACGGCCTTCCTTGCCTCCGGCAAAGAACGGGAGCAGCTGATGGGCTCGGACGTGGGTGTCTTCGTGGGGCAGTGCCAGTATGACCGGGGCTCAAAGAATGTAGTTTCTGTAAGTATACACAAAACGATACTACATGAGCCCATTTTGCATCATGAGCTGGAGAGATGAAACCCTGGATGCGCAGGACTGGTTCGTGATGGTGTCGGTGGGCGACAAGTTCAATCCATACACTGGAACTGGGATTTCAGCTTCCATCAGTGCGAACCGAACCTCGCGCGCCGGCCGCACTCAAATCTGGGTGCGTTGGGGTATATATTATATGTGTATACATTCATGCATGTAGGTGTACGCTTGTGCAAGTCCGAGCACATATGTATGTGCATGAGAATCCGTACAGGTCTAGGTACAAGGTGCATTTAGGTCTTTGTGTAGGTATGTGGGCGTGCAGCAGTATGTACGTCTGCATGTAATGTGTGTGTGTGTGTATGATTCATTCATTCGTTCGTTCATGCAGGTGCGCACTTAGTCCCGTGTCACGTCGTGGCCCGTCATGGCAGGGAAGGGAGTGCGCACATCCTTGCGGTTTCATTTGGCTGCCCAGGTACATCTTCGGAGTGAAGGGCCCAAGCTTGACATGTGACACGGCCTGCTCTTCCTCCCTGGTGGCTGCCGATGCGGCGTCTTGGAAGCAGAGCAAAGCAAGCACAGCACCACCAGCACCAACACCAGGTCACAGCAGGAGCTGTACGAACGGGAGCGGTCCGAATCATGCTCAGTCTCTCTCAATGCTAGTGCACTCGAGGCGCTGTCTTCCCTTCGCAGGGGAACAGCAGAAGGCGCCCTGGCTGCCGGAACCAACCTCATTCTTGGTACTGGCCCGTACATCAGCTTCAGCAAGGCCGGGAAAGTTTAAGAGCACCGATAGCCTTCAAACACAAGACGACATTGAAGGCAAATGTTGGTACAAGGAACCGAATCTCCAGTTGTTCCAAGCTGTCAGGCCAAGATGCTTTCCGAGGATGGCCGTTGCTTCACCTTCGATGCCTCGGCAAATGGCTATGCACGTGGAGAGGGTGTGGGAGCAGCGTTCCTTGCCGTCCTGGCGGATGGGGACGGAGACGTGTCCGCCCGAGCCCTGCTCCGGGGAACGGCGGCAAATCAGGATGGGCGCTCGGCGTCCCTCACAGCCCCCAACGGTCCATCACAGCAGGCAGTGATCCGGCGAGCGCTCTCGGAAGCCGCGGCCAGCGTGGGCGAGGTGGCTTTGATTGAGTGCCATGGCACCGGCACTGCGCTTGGGGATCCCATCGAAGTGGACGCTCTCAAGACGGTGCTTGGCGAGGCTTCATCTGTGGCTTTGGGAGCAGCGAAGACCAACATTGCGTGCCTGACCTGAAGAACGATACCAATGGTTTGAGTTCTAACTTCTCGCGGCCATCATGACCCTTTACACTTGTTCCTCTTGCCACCAGTTGTTGTGCACACATTCAGCTTAAAATCAGCCTTTGCATTCCCACTGCAAGGCACTTGGAGGGTTCAGCAGGCATTGCTGGCTTCCTGAAGAGTGTCCACATGTTGGAGAAGAAGCAGGTTCCTGCGAACTTGCACTTCCAGAGCTTGAACCCGCATATCGACTTGGAAGACTTCCAGGCTCATTGGCTCTAAGCCTCTAAACCCTGAGCGGCAGCTTTTCTGACAGCATTTCCCGAACTCCGAGGCTGTCATTCCAGTGGAGCTGCACGAGCTTCCTTCTGGCAACGTCGTTTCAGGCCCTATCGGGTTAACGGAGCTGTGGTAAGGACCTTTTCTGATGACAGGTGTACCACGTGTCAAAACCTCCTTCTGCCAGCTTTCGTGATGGACTCGCGACTTTGAAGCTTTGAAGCTTGCTTTCAAGCTAGCCAGGCCTCTCCTCCTTCGGATTTGGTGGAACGAACGCGCACCTGACCTTCGGCGGCTCGCCGGGGCGAGAAAGCCAGCGCATGACCGTCTCAGAACCGGCAGCTAACGAGGGAGCCATCACTTTCAGGCCCGGATGCTGCAGGCTGCATATGTGTAGGGCTACTGCCGCTGCGGCTGCTGCTGCATAGAACAAGCCGTCGTTCGATGCATGGCATTGCAGGCACGCTTCGTTCCCCTGGCGTGAGACGGCCTACCGGTGTCTGCGACGGAAGATCACGGAAGGTCGAGATGTGCACTACGAGTGCACCATCAAGTCAGAGCCTGGACAGCAGTGCTCAGCGATATTGAGGGCCTGTTTAGGAGGTGGGGATGGGTGGGGTTACTCAGAGACTTACTCTGAGGGGTGGATCTTTTGTCAGAAGCCCCAAACCCTAATCCTAGACCCTAGACCCTCAACCCTAGTCCCAAGGACATCTTCAAAGTCTGTGCCGAGCATGTGGCCTTCAACGAGATTGTGGTGCCAGGCATACATGGCATACAGCTTACCTCTTGTTAAGTGGAGCTTTCCGGAACTCGGGTTTAGGTTTAAGGCCTCATGGTTATTGAGCACGATCATACCCACGATCATACCAGCAACATCTAGGATCTCCCTCAAATTCTATTTTTTGGGGATTCCTTTCCTCGAAGCTTCCCACATTCCAGCCCTTCCGCACGTGTGGAGGTGTGGTCTACGTCGAACATGCAATGGAGGCCTGCTACATCGGATCTAGCCTCATATAACGTGTCATGATAGCCTGCAACATCTTCTGACCTGCTGCCATGCAAGTCTACACCGTGCATAGTCATATCATAACGTATGATAACGTACTGCAATGTACTATAACATGTCATTATATACCATACCATGCTATACTATAATATGCCATGATCTACTATCATATTACTACAAAATACAAAGACTTGTCTCAGCAGTTTAATTGAAACGAAGGGGTGTATGGCTGCATGCAGTTGCGTAAGTGCGGGAGTTCTCACGCATGTGTGTGAATGTTATAAGCGAATGTAGTGCAATGGAAGGAAACGTAAGGTAATGCAACATAACTGGCGGAACGAAATGGCGCACGCTCTATGCCAGGACATCGATTGGCATAGTATGTGCAGCCTTGCGGGGTGATGCAAAGTATACCGGCGTGCACACGCTGAGAGATATGCGTAGAATAGATTGATAAGTAACGCGTGCACACAACTAGGTTTTCTTCTGGGCACTATGGACTTGTTTCCGTGCACTGACAGACAGACAATAACAAGAGGCAGACAGACAGAGACAGACGAGGACAGACTTACAGACAGACAGACGGACAGACAGGCAGACCGACAGACAGACAGGCAGACCGACAGACAGACAGACAGACTGACAGACGGATGGACGGGTGGACGGACGAACGGACGGACGAACGGATGGACGGATGGACGCATCGACGCATGGACGGATGGACAGATGGACGGACAGCTTGCTGGCTAGTTGGTAGAGACAGAGATCGATAGAGCCATGAATAGGCAGACTGGCCACATAGGGACAGAGATAGAGATAGAGAGATGCGCGTGTTTTTGCATCGACACATACATACCCACATACATACATACATACATACATGCATACATACGCGCATACTTACATAGTACAGACATATAGAGGTATACAGCTATACAGATATAAAGATATTTAAATATGCAGATATGTAGGTAGACAGGTATATAGGTATATAGTTGTAAGGCTGTTCACACGCATATATATATATATGTACATATATATATGTACATATATATATATATATGCATGCAAGAAGATAAGCAGATATATGGACACGTAGATATTCAGACATTTAGCATATAGATGCATAGATACACAGATACATAGACACGCAATACACGCAAATGGATGTATGAATAAATATTTGTATGAACATATATATGTATATATACATACATGTACATGCCTACATCTATACATATATACATATATACATATAGCATAGATATATACATATACACATATACACATATACACATATATACATATATACATATATACATATATACATATATACATACATGCATATACGCATATATACATATATACATATATACACATACATATATACATAGATACATATACATATATACATACATATATATATGTGTATATACATATAATGTGCATACATATATATATACATATTATATATATACACACGTATATATATATATGTATATATATATATGTATATATGTATGTATGTATATATATATATATGCATACATACATACGCACATACATACATACATACATACATGACATAGATAGATATAGGCTATATGGTTACTCTGGATACATGACATCGGGGGGCCTGAGTCCATGGTCAGGCCGTCAAAACCATTGTCGGCAAGGAAGGATATTTGAAAGATCTCGTCGCCGCCTCAGTCGCGCGACTCTCTTGTAAACTTGGAGCCCCAGCTTCGGCGAGCGGGTGGTGCAATGGAAACGGAATGTCAATAATCTAAACGGTTCAGGGTCGAGAGTTGAGTGTTTATGGCAATCAGAGTAGTTTGTCATTATGGAGATGATCCTGGTGTCAGCTTGTGTGGGAAAGCCCAAGGCTATGACATGGCCACTTGTCGTTCCAAAGAATGCCGATGAACCAACGGCCACCACGGTCTTCCTTCGCTTCTGCCAGCACCCTGTCAGCAAACATTCGCATGGCACATCGCTCACGGGGAGAGTTTTCACAGCCAGTCCGCACAGACGCAGGCTGCTTCCACGACGTCAGTTGTGCATGCCCTGTGTCAATTGAGTGGCTTGGAGCAGTCTTGCATTTACCATATCCGTCCAAGGATGGGTGACAAGTTCGAGATGCGCAGCTCCCGAGGGGACAGCACGGAGATGATCACCCACTGTGAAGGACGTATCGGCCGGGGCCTGGCAGAGCCAGCCACCATCAATCTGGAGGAGCGTCCGTGGATCTTGCGATCTTCTCAGCGATGTTGCTGTTGACAATATAAGGACTCAAAGGCGATGGCATCTCCAAGAGTCATAGAGAGAATGCTGCACAGTTTGCTGAACTGTGAGGATGATAGCCGCAATCGAAATGGAAGGATGTCGAATGACTAGGCTTGCGAGTATTGTCATCGCGAGTAGTCGCATGAACAGAACCCAGACAAGATCGAGCAGCATTAGCACTGGGAGGGGATGAGAGAACGATGGACTAGGATGATGATGATGGTGATGACGATGATGATGATGGTGATGATGGTGATGATGATGATGATGAGGAGGAGGAGGAGGACGTTTCTGATGATACACGCAATACTTAGAGGAATGTCTACAGCAATAACTATCGTTGGAAGAAACATAAGTATGGTAGACTCTAGTACGGGCTCAAAAGCACCGTCGCAGTAGTACACGTAACACCCGAAGTAGTCGTCGTCGTCGTCCTCGTCCTCGTCCTCGCCGTCGCCGTTGCTGTCGTCGTCGTTGTCGTTGTCGTGTTGTGGCCGTGGCAGTAGCTGTAGCAGCAGCCATGGCAGTGGTTTTGGCGGTTTTGGCAGCAGCAGCAAAAGCAGCATCAGCATCAGCAGCAGCAATGGAGGTTGCAGAAATAGTAGAATCAGCAGGTAGACGTATAAGTAGCAAAATCGCAGCCATAGCAAAATCTGCTTTGACTCGCTTCCACAGGAGCTTCGGCAGATGTGCACGGAAGAGGTTGATCCCAAGGAGCATCGCTTTGCCCTTCTCACAGAAATTAGCCGGTTTCGGGCAACCCCCCAACCCCAAATCCTAAACCCAAAGGCCGTGCTCCTTCATGTAGGACGTGTATGCGGCCATTCACAAGGGTGGGCTCTGGCTTGGACCGCGCTTCCAGGCAGCGTGTTTCATGTACAGATCAAAACAGTCAAGAAAATTTTTGTATGTTTACTACTGGAAGCACTTTCAATAGCATCGGCGGTGCCGGGAGTACGTGTAAGAGTAGCGTGACCGTCCATGCAAGACAGCTTTTCTGCCCGGAGGTGTGCAAGCAGATGCAACGAATGCGTACGGGCCCATCAGGCGAAGGCCGACGTCTTGCTACGAATTTGTCAGGTGTTCTCTATGGTGCAAAATAGGACCCTGAAGAACAGCATCCTTTGTCTAGAGACGGGAGACAGGCTCCCCTAAGTTTCAGGCCAGTCGCGTCAGATGAACCACTGACTCAGCACCTACAGGAAAAAGCATTCTGTGCTATCCGTGTCAGGACAGGTATCATGTTTTTGTTGTCGGCGTCCTTCTTGTATGAGATCCCTGTCGTGTACCTACATGGGAGCCGACTATAAGGCAGCACGACCCCATCTGCTTTGAAACTTCTTACGCAGGTATCCAAACATGTAGAAAGTAAGTGCCCTGAAATTTGCAGGGCCTTGGGTGCCAAACCCTTCTAGGTGGCGACAAGCATGTCTTGTGTCGGCTGGAGCACTCCCCGGAGCCGGGAGCCAAGCGCCTTTGATATAGCTCTAGGCGAGCGTATGTGCATTGGTATATATCTAACATACATATGTGTGTGCAGCTGTGCACGTGCGTGCGTGCAAGCGTGTGTGCATGTGTGTGTGTGTGTGTGTACGTGCGTCCCTGCGTGCATGCGTGTGTGGATAGGTGCGTATACATGCAGGTGTGAGTGTGTATGTATATGTATATGTATA